AGGGTCCAAGCATGACCCATTTGCGACTTGATCTCGCACATCTCCCTTCCCTACAATTTTTAGGGATTTGTTGTCCGCAAGATATACCAAGCCAAAATCACCTGCGGTGTATAGCTCCATGATGTCTCCGCTACCGCATGAGTGAAATGAGGCCCCCGAGTCCACGATCCAAGTCATCGAGCGAGCTTCTCACACTCAACAAGAGTGCATCCGCCGTGTCCTCCGTCGCGGCATTGGCCGTCCGACCTTCTTTGTCTTTCCTTGGTGCCCGGCATTCGCTTTTCATATGCCCAGGCTTCTCGCAGCTCCAACACACCATCTCTTTCTTGCCTTTATTCCTTCCCTCGGATTTTGACCTCCCACGGATTTTCCCTCGTGTTTCGGGTCTCCTCTCGGACTCTGTATGTAGGGCTGAGCCGGACGACCCACCCGCCCGATTTCGCGGGTCTCCTCGTTCAACATCATATCTCTTATGTTGTCGAACTTCATCTTCTCCTTGCCGAAGAAGTGCTCACCGAAGTAACAGCCACGTCCCAACCGTCCAGGCAATGATGAGAGTAAGATTAGGGCTTTTACCTCATCATCAAACGAAATATCCACCGATGCCAACCGCGTAGTGAGTTGGTTGAAATCGTTGAGATGATCGGCCACCGACTTTCGCTCCTCCATTTGCAATTTGAACAGCTTTTTCATCAGCATCACCTTGTTTATTGCCGATGGTTTTTCATACATGTCGGCGAGTATCCGCAAGACCTCCTTCGTGCTTTTTGCTCCCTTCACATGGTAGGCGACGTTCCGAGAGAGCGAAAGAATTATAGCACTCATCGCCTTCCGATCGAGCACCTTCCATTCATCATCGCTCATCTTCTCGGGTTTTTCCCCAAGAGGTGCGTAGAGGTCCTTCCCGTACGGGTAAGCCTCCATTTGCATTCGCGTGAATCCAAAGTCGGAACCATTGAACCGTTCGACTTGAATCTTTCCCTCCATCTTATCTCCAACCTCCTGGCTCGATACCAGTTGTTGGGAAATAAGGTCGGATAAGATGGAATAATAATAATACACCAATGTGAGATCAATAAAAGACACGAATATTTGTTAACCCGAGTTCGGATTAAATCCTACATCTGGGGGCGAACCAAGCCAGGAGAATGAACTAGAATAAGAGGATAAACCGAATGTTACAATTCACACAAGCCCGTATGAATACACTCTCTCTACTCTTTCTTCACACTTGGATTGGATGCAAATGAGGTTACAAAATGAGGTATTTATAGCCAAACAAATCCTTCTTGAGAGGAAGTTGCAAGGAAGCTCCCTTCCTTTGACCAGGAAGTTGCAAGGAAGTAGCCTTCCTTTGACCAGGAAGTTGCAAGGAAGTAGCCTTCCTTTGACCAGGAACTTACGAGGAAGTTCCCTATCTTTGACCAATCTTTACACCTCAACACCATTTTCATAATTGTGCTTTTCAATCATATTCTCTTTGAAAATTCACACCGCTCACCAAGACCTGCTCAACAACTTGTTAGTTAGTAGTACTTAGAAGACTGAATACATATATACTAGCAGCTTTATCACCAACCAACTAACAAGTTACAAAAATCTAACCCGACAGTATATAATACCATCAATAAAATAATTAAGTTAAAAAATAATACCTTTTTTAAAAAATTACCCATAAAAAAGGGTGGGAAAAGAAGACTGGTCCACCCATATATATAAAAACAAGTGAAAGCCTACAAGATGTGAAATTGTATCTTGTTTTACTTAACCAACTTTAAACTTCACATTTTCTTTTGATAATTCGCCTGATTTTTGGATAGACACTCTTCTTTTTTTTAACCTTTCTAAGGCAATTAAAGTGGTCTGGTCAGTTGAAAAAACGATGAATCAACGACTATGGGTCTATAAGCAGGCAAATCTAAAGAACCAAAAATAATCACACAGTTTTATTTGACTTGATTAGAAATATACAATTGAATTGAATTGGCCAAGATTACAAAACGTGAGATAGTTAAAAGGAAAAGGAAAAGAATTGAAAGAAAAGAAGGAAGAGAAAAAAGAAATACATATTTGCACGTTTGAACAATTGAATGAAATGAAATGAAGTGATGAGTTTTGGGAGAAGGAATTAAGCATGCGCAGACTCAATTAACGACGCTGCAACGCCTCCTGATCTCGCCTTGCGAACCGGTTAGAACGTCGATGGAACCCATATGCACCATTGCCTTAGCAAACTTGCGTGCCCAGGTGGAAGCATGTTGAGCATTGGTGAGGACCATTGGCCTGGTTGAGGGGCTGCCGAGCAACGTCTGATCCGAGGTCAGCAAACCACGGTGTTTATTGAGCTCTTTGTAGTATTTGTTGTCCAAACGGTTAGGAGTGGAAGCATCGAGCATCACTGTGTTATCACTCCCTGGTGGACACTTGGTTTTCAACGACGCAGCATACTTAGAATCCAAAGAGGGATCTTGAGGAAAAGTGGCATTGAAAGAGTACAAGCGCTCCGAGAAAGAGGAACAGTGTGACACACCAATAGAATGCGCTCCAGACAGCGTCACCATTTCCTCTGCAGACAACCCTTTCTGTTGGAAGTTACTGATGAGTTCCTTTGCGTTGAAGGTTGGACGTGGCAGTTGTGACGCTTCGTCTCTGATAGAGACACGACCATCTCTGCGTCCAGCTGGCACTACGTAGTTTATGCCCCCAACTTTGTTGGCGCTGTCCCGAGCTGCAAAAGCAAGAATGTCTGCGCAGGACACAGTGTGAGGACATTCTGCCTCTATTTTGGCCTTGGCTTCATCGATCACTTCGAAGCCTCGTAGACTTGGGTTGTTGGCAGGGTGCTCTCTCTCTGATGGCTTCCCCGGTGTGGATTCCAACAGCACAGAACCATCGCACCCCTGCATATATATGGCAACTAATTTTAGAGATGTGCACTGCACACTAAATCATAAAGCCACTAATTGATTAATTTAGGTATTAAGGAAGATGAACAACTTACCCTGACAAAGCAATCATGAAAATGCATTCTGATCAAACCAGCAGCGATGCCTGGGTTGAGAGAGACGGCTTTGTCTACAGCACTTTTCACTATTGCCTCCGCGGAAGGACACGTAGTTTTATAGAAATCCACCTTCAAAGATGCGGAGGCCAGTGGGAAAATGGAGAGAAATAGAAGGAAGCTTGAGAGCAGTACATGCATGTGTACAGATGTAGCCATTGTAAATATATTGTTGTGTTTGTGCAGAATATGATAGATGTGTTGTTTGCTTTAGCCTTGAATGAGAAAAAGTATAGCAGTGAGAGAAGAGGGGGGAAGAGGGTGAGTGATATGTGTTAAAATGGAGGTGGAGGTGGAGAGAAGTTGAGGTGGGTGCATTATATTTATAGGTTGAGAAATATTGTGAAGGTGAGAGTAGGTCTTACTTTTGAAACCAAAACGTGTGTATGCTGTAGCCTGCGGTATTGCATGGTGGTTGAAGCAATCTCTGGCTTTGAACTCTTCCTCTTCTGGCGGGCTAGTGTTCACGGCGTTGGCCTCTCACTTATTATGTTTGGTAAGTGTTTTGATATTTGTGTGTAGTGGATTGGATGGAGAACTATGACTATTGGCTGCAACAGCCGCTTGAGCTGACGGAGAACTTTTCAATCCTTGACATTTGCATTTCGCAAATAGTTTGCAATAAATGGGATACCTGACAATTGCAAGCCCGAGTAAATTGTAATTAATCAGAATAATAATTTAAATATATATTTAAAACTTAAAACATATTCTCTCTCTAAAGATAATATACTTATAATTATTAAAAAAATAATTTATTTAATTAATAATATTGGACTTATCTGTAATTACAATATTTTCAAAATTACATGAAGAAAAAAATAATATTGGCATCCTTAAATGTTATGAACCGTATTTATTTCCTTCATCAATTAATTATTTAAGGATAATTTTGAAAAAACAATTACAAAACAAACAAATATAATACTAATAATAACTGAGTTAACTAATTCTATTTAATAACCGTCAATTGTTGTTAAGGGTTTTAAATTTATATATTAGTTTTTGTGCAGTTAAATATGATTTTTTTTTCTAGGATTTTTTTTTCTACGTGATTGAAATAGAGAATGGGATCCCATTTTTATTTTTTTATAGTTTGATTCAAATTTTCATAGACAAAGCAAGGTGAATTCTACCTCTTGGAATTTTTATTCTCGAATATTGAAAATATATGAAGAAAGACAGACTAAAACATTTTTACTGAAATAATTATAATATTGTTAATTTAAACTTATAAAAATATATTTTTTTTAAATTGAAACAATTCTTCTTTTCTGACAAACCAAAAAATAAAAAAAATCTTATCTTCCTTTCTTTGCCTTGTAATTTATCTTCTCCTTTTACCTTAAATTAAAATCTCTTCTATGTTGTGTCCATTATTCAAACTATCAAAGTTTTAAGTTAAATTTTATTTTTTGCATTAAATATGTTTTATCTTTGTAGTCTGTAAAAATTTATTTTAATTTTTATATTTTAAAAATTAATAGGTTAGCTTTTAAAACTTTACAAATAAATATAAATTTAGTTTTTTTAATTAATAGAATGACAATAAAAAATTATTAAATTTATGTAAAAAATAATTAAAATAATATTTAGTTTTTAATCAATTGTTTCAAGATAAAAAAAATTAAAATTATATTTTTAAAGATCAGATAATGAAGAATTTATGAAACATAAATTTGTGAGAAAACATACATTTCCCCGTAGTTTTTCTCTCAAAGCTCTAAACTGGTTTGGGCCGCAGGTGCATGTTGAAGAGCGGAAAGCCCATGATTGCATTTAAATATTAAGTAAGAAAATAAATAAATAAACTGGATCCATCAGCGTCACGGCAACATTAGCGCATCTCATGAACGTGCGATGCTGATTCTTGTATGACAAATCCTCACGATTGTCACGGGGAGCGAGAGAAGTGTGTCCGAATTCTGAAAATCTGACCATGTCTGCTACTCTGGTAGGCTATACACCACCTTTGACCTCATTGTCATCTACTTGTAGAGACACATTTGCCGCCAATTTCACCTCCGTAAGCTTCCCTGCTACTCCACTCTCCTCCAATCTTCTCTTCTTCAGGCTCACTCACTCTGCTTCTTCCAAGCGAACCTCAACCTTCCATGGCTTCAAGCGCTTTTCCCCTGTCATGGAGTGGCAGGATTGCACGTATCTCCTTTCTTTCTCGCTCTTCTTTACTTGTTACGGATTAAGTTTCCTTTAACTAACTATTGATATCTCAGCAGCAACTATGAAACCGATTTAGTGAGAATTTTACATTTATATGATTCCTTTTACTTAGTTTTGCATTTGCCTAGTGAGGCATGATTGAATTAGTGCTCTACAAAGCCTCTTCCACTTGTAATAGTGCTTTCATTTCATGACTAGGGGTTGCTTAGGAAGTTTTGCTGTTTTGTTCCTTTTAGAATTCGACGACAATGCATTTCATGTTATTAACGTTGTACGACAACTAGAAAAGAATATGTTCAATTTCAGGGTTAAGATGGACATTGATGTGCCCATCTCTGTAGCATATGCTTGTTATTCTGATCGCGAAGCCATCCCGAAATGGATGCCCTTTATTTCCTCTGTTCAGGTGTGTTTGATTTCCTTCTCACCCTCTATTCTACGGATTATTCTTCTTAATGACTGAAATCGGGACTTGTAACGGGTGGGGGAAATGAATTCCCTTAGTTGTTTACATTACTTATTTCTTGTACTCGTGTTTTTCTTATCCTCATAAAAGAATTTCAGGATATTATGGAACTTAATAAGTTGCAAGGGCTGTCATATTCAGCAACTGTTGTTTGATGAGTGTAACACAGTAGATATGGTATTTTTGCTTGTTTTTCTTTGTTTAGTCAAACAAGTAGCTCATGTGTTTGAAATCTTTGATCTGACATTACAATCAGAATCTAGTTGTTTTCGATTTGGATCCAAATGGTGCCTATGAATACTAAAGCCCTGTAATTTTCATTCAATAATCGTGAACTGAAAAAAAAAAATCATTTTGATTTTATGCAAATGTTGTATTTGTTCCACAGATATTGGCAGACAAACCTGATCTGTCTCGATGGACCTTGAAGTATAAGGCCTTCGGTCGTGATATTGAATTCTCTTGGCTTGCTCGTAATATGCAGGAAAAGATCTCCAACCTAATACTATATTTTTTTTTCCCTATAAAATTCTCTTTTAGTTACAAATTACAATTGGTATTTGTTATTCATGTTATATTATCACCTTCTTACAGCCCATTCCAAATCAGAAAATTCACTGGCGATCTATGGAAGGTCTTCCAAACAGGTAACTTACAAGGACATTTTCTAAGTGAATATCATGTGATTGCTTAACTTTTTTTGTGGAAATTTTGTTAGCTCAACATTGTGTAAAGATATTTGAGATGTATGACAACAAAGAAAAGTTCAGATACATGTTTATTTGTTTCTGACTAGCCTTTATATCATATTGAACTGTCCAAGCTTTATTGTAGTTTTTCCCAGCAGTGGTAATCCATAATATTTAGATCAGCTACCAGAGGTGAACTTGGAATGCTTGATGGTGTGCAGAAGTAATATAGAACATTAACAGAATTTTATTTTTACTATTAACTTTTTCCAAAAAGAAGATAGAAAGAGGAGAGCAGAGGAATATAGAGTAAATTTAGACAGGAAAATGTAATACATGCACAGTATTAGTGTCATGCCTCATCTTTTTTGCTTTGCCTTGTTTCCCATACATAGTGTTGAATAATACTCATCCCGCTTATGCTTAATTGGCATAATTTACTTTATAATGTAGAGTTTATGCTATTTTTCTTATATATGAATACCAAAAAAAAGAAGGGAGGATAAATCCTTGCTCACACTTGCTCCCAAAGTTATAAAGAGGAAGAATCTTATGCCTCATCTTATATCTTGTATGTGTAAATGTAATATAAAGGTAGTTTATTCCAATATATATCCTATAAATTTAGCACCCTAGTTCTTAACAGGTTTTAATATTAATATTTTGCTGTTAAGGAATGTCAATATCCAGTTTTGTGCCTAAGAAACAAACAATTTTATGGTTTCATTTCCTAGAGCCTGACTTGAAACTGGTGGGCTTCTATGCTATGTATAGTGCATATTGTCATGTAATATGAGGGAGTAAAAAGACCCTTCCACCTTGATAGCAGTGAGTCTCTTTAGTAGTTAGGTTAACGTTTTCCTCCTTTCCTTTATCTGTGTCGTGTTTGTGCATTAAGTTATTAGATAAATCTATCCCTTTGCGAACACTAAGAATAGGAATGCAATGCTTCTAATATGATTAGAGATTCCTAGTACATTTGCTGCATAAATTATGGTTAGCACTTGATCGGCCGGGGAGAGGGGGGAGGAGTTGAAGGAGACCCCATATGTTTGTTACACAACTTTAATGTGAGAAAAAAGAATTTTTTCTAATGATAATTCAACTTCATCTTCTTTGATTATCTGGAACACTTCAAATTTCAACTTATCCAAGCATTAAAAATTTTTAATTTTCACAAATGATTAAACACCTTTTCACATGTAATATTTTTGTATTTGGGTGGATAGATATAAGTAGATAAATATTTTATATGTATAAAATATATCATTAAAAAATATATTTATATTTAAAATATTTAGGAAAATGTGTAAAAGGTCCTCCTTTATATGTTTAAATGCATTCTGTATGATTTCCGTAGAAACTTTCTCCTTTTAATTTCTTAATAAATGCTCTTAAGGCACTGGTTAGCAAGACCCAAATATTTAAGCAGACTTTATTTTGTCTTGGGACTCAAAATGTTGGAACCAGGCCTGGAACTTCAAGAATTCTGGTTTGTCTGATTTTATTCATTTTCAAGAAAGTTGCATAGAATTACCTATAGCAGAGCTAGGTTGTTCAAAAAGTATTGGTGAACCAAACTACCCGGAAGTTAAAGGGAAGTAGTTTGGATGAGTTTGGACAAATTGTTTCGCAGTTTGGTTTGATTCAAGGAAAACTATTTTCTAATTCAGTTTGATTATGTTCTGGAGGTAATGACTTTTTCTTTGTTTTTTCCATTCTCATTTCTATTTTGGTTAGATTCAAAAGCCAAGAACATTTCGGTTCAATAAATCCTATGCCACATCAGTTTGAATTTTAGAACGGTGCACCAACCAAAAAACTAGTTCGTTTGGTTTGAGTGAACTTTTTTTCAGATTGGTTTGGACTAATTCTTTTCAATTTTGTTGGGTGTTCTTAGCTAAAACGAACCATGAACAAGCCTAGCCAAAGCCTAGATCCTTAGAGCAAACATTTTCTAGCCCACATGATGCATCACAAATCCAAGATTTATGAATCCCCTCTCCCATCCAGCCCCCTAACTACCCTCTCACATCATGAGAATCATTCATCCAACACACTTAAAAATCAGCACTATGGATGAGAAAGTGTATCTTGACTCTGGATATCCCCAAAAGTATCACAACAGGTAAGGTACTTGCTTAATGGGGATGGACCCAGATTAGGTATTTACAAGCAAATTTTAATGGCAAAAGTGTAGGTGATATAGTTATAATTTATTTAATTGTGTGCATGTATATAATAAAATATTTTACTTATGTAAATACTTATGCTATTTAACTCAAATTTTATAATGATTGTGTTAGAAAATTATGTTTACAATGTTGTTTAGTTATGACTTATGTTTGAATGACTCAAGTTATGCTTGAATGTTTTTTATCTCATAGTTGGATGCTTCTAATGTTATATTTATTTGATTGTAGAATGGAATTTCAATTTTTTAAAGGTAAATTAATTTTTATTGAGAGATAAATGTGGTCAAATCTAAACAAAGACATCATTCATATATAAATCAACATGACAAATAATACACCAATTAGCAAAGGAATCATTTGTGAATCCTTCACCAACAATAATAAGATAATTATATTAAATAATATAGGCACATTTCTGCATACAACTTTCATTGTGAATTTTGACCAATAGACATGTATATGTTGACAATTAGCCTTCTATAATGTATATATTATTATGAAAAACATTAAAAGAGAAAACTACATTTTCCCACCAATAATGAAATTATGAAGTAATTTTTAATTATATTTTCTATTGAATTTATATACAAGTACTGGTAACGGGTGTAATGTAAAATAACGGATTTTTATTGATTTATTGAATTTATAGAAATTTATTACTATATGCCTTTACCCTAATCTCAATTGTCATCCTAGCGTCCAAGTTAACTATCTCAAACGAGTACCACACGTCTTCCTTCTAGAGTAAACCATTCATGTTGTGGGCCCTTTTGTTATCCATTATCACATCCTTTTCAGCATTCACACTAGAACCATAGGTTTCATCGGCGCTTGTCTTAGTCTACTATATGTATCATTGAAACAACGTTAGATGTTACGGTCACTAAGAGACTATGTTGTATGGATACATTATTCAGTATTTTGAAGATTTTTAATTGCTTGATTTCTCACGTGGCAGAGGTGCTGTGCGATTCTATCCGAAAGGTCCTTCATCATGTGTAGTAGAAGTAAGGTCCTTTTTACCTCTATATATACAAGTATAAACATTGATATTTCTTAAAACAACTTTTATCTACCAATGTTTCCCATATGGGTATTTGCGGAGTTTCATACTTTGATCCCATGTTTCAAACTTTTGGGCACACCTATATCGTTGTAATTCTCACTGGGCAGTATTTGTCAAACTAGCTGCATGCTCCTAATGGTCCAACTAATCGCCTACAACTAGGTGATGCACATGTATGCATCTATGAAATAATTTTTCATATTGGTCCCATTAACAATTTTTTCCACGCTTTTACTTCTATCAGGATATTGGGAGAACTTGAAAGTGATAATATATATTGTTCTTTTGTCCATTTTTCTACCTTATTGGCCCTTACTCAAGAACTAACTACAGCATTTTTGTCCTTTACAGCTGACAGTCTCGTATGAGGTTCCTCAAATTTTAGCTCCAGTGGCATCGGTGAGCTATCTGACCCGGAAAATAATTAAGTTTGAAATAGCAAATTAGGAAATTGGAAAAAGTTAAGACAAATGGCTAAACTGTTTCCCTAGCTTTATTCCTTTGTCTTGGATTTTCACCCGGTTTTAATAGCTATATTCTCACCTTTGATGCTACCGCTTTAGAAACTTTTTCTGATGTTCCACCCTTCATGATTTAATTTGCAGGCACTGCAACCTTTCCTTCAAGGTTTACTTCAACGTGGTTTGGAAAGATTTGCTACATTCGCCAAAAGCTACACATAAGATTTTATTATGATTGTCCTGAATTTTACAGCAGGACTACATTTCTAAAAGCATAGCTGATTATTTTCATTTCGATCTCATTTTTGTCTGGACATTGATTAAATTACTGAAGGATGATACTAATGCATGAATGGTTACCCAATTTTTTTTTTAAGTGTACATTATGTACAACTCTCAAGGATGATCTTAGTGCATAATAAACACATCAGACTAATGCTTAAGGTATCTTCTAAAACCCGCCATCCGAAATTTGTAACGCTGCTTTGAACACTTCAGAAATGTTCGGGGATTTAGATTCTAGACAGTAAAATTTGCCAAACTCTCTGGAGACTGAAGCTCCTATGTTTGAGTCTATTGGTACTTGTCTATGAAAATGAAAATGAGCTTCACCCTATCAGACATAATTGCCGACAATAAATGGAAGAGATGCTAAGGCATTCCGAACAGTTTTATTGACACACAAGAATCTGACATGAATATGACGGTCATAACAAGAATTGGCTATAGTACAAAATAATAATGTAACGACGGTACATATTTACACCACCATCCTCTGGCCCAGGCTATGTACATCCACCGACCACGTTAAAAAAGAAAATGAAGGCTGCTTTTTCCAATGTCTAAACTGAAGCAGCCAAAAACAGCATGTATAAACTCAACAAATTATTTGATGAACCGTGTATGTACACACAATCAGTTGCTAGCACTGCCTTCCAACAGGCTCCTCAAGCTACAAAGAGCCTCTGCAGAGAGGCTACAGCATCTCAATTTCCGTTGGCGAGGAGGGGATGGTTCTGGCTCCATGTGGTCAAGGGAAGAAAAACATATAATGATCACAGTGAGATTATCGAATGTGTTCAGGCGTAATGCTTCCATAACCAGGTCCCTGGCACATTTCTCCGGGTCGTCATGCCGCCTCAGGCCTCTGCGAACAAGGCTAACTGCATGTTGACTTGACATGACATCCCAGATGCCATCGCATCCTATGATGAGGAATTCATCATCCTCTGTTAGAACCACTTGCCTGAACTCAGGCTCTGCAATCAAAGGTGAAGGACCGCCCTTAGGTAACTTCATGTCCCAGTCCCCTAGTGCTCGAGTAACTGATAAAACCCCATTGAGATAACCATCATCTATGTAGCCACCCAATTCTTCAACACGCCTCCGCTCTAATGCATAAATAGGCCTGTGGTCTTGTGACATGTCAATGGCCTCTCCTTTGCGACAGAGAACCGCTCGGCAGTCGCCAGCATTGGCCACCATTAGAAGCCTGACATAAGCATACCAGAAATCAGCAAAGCAAATATAGAGAATGCAAGACAATTCCTTGCAATCTAACAGCTATCCATGCATTAGAGACAGTAACCCAAGCAGAATCTATCCAAAGTTTAGCTGGTTCAAGAAATATGAATTCCAGTGTAAGGACAATAAATGTTGAAGAAATATTAGGAACACCCAATCATGCACAAGACACTGGATTTTATTAAAAGAAACAGCCCGTATCACCTATTTTGAAATTTTTTTCCATAAGCTTTAAAGAGGAAGAAAGTACAAGAAAAAAATAATAAACTAAACTAAAATTAGTTTAGACATACACTAATTTGTTGTACTTTTTTCATTTAACATCTTTCAAAACTTATTTATTTCATTTTACATCTTTCAAAGCTTATTTTAGCTTAGCAATAAGCTAATTTCAAGTAATAGGAAAACTACTTCATTTCTTTTATTTTCTACGAATGTTTATAGAAAAGTTTATCTAAACACAACTCGAGTGAAATAGTAAAGTATAATCTAGTAAGCTGTTAAGAGTGTGCAAATACAGAAGAACCAAGAATGTTAAGTATAGATTACCTTCCAAATATCAAAGCAGTAAGAGCCGTGGTGCCTGATGAACTATTCACACTGCATTCATCGGCCAAAGCTGAATCAGCCAAAAGAAACGCCTTTCTGAGGGAATCCTCTACCTCTTCCAGAAATACATTGTTGACTTCAGAAGTCTGTGGGAAACTGACATCTTCAAAGAAGAATTTTATCACGTTTTTTCTAATATAAGCTGCAGCTTCAGGTCCTCCATGACCATCAAACACCTGGGATATTTGCCAAACCTCAGTTAAATTTAGAATAAGAATAAAAAAGTTCAAAAGACAAAGGTGAAAAATTGATTACCCCATAAAAGGCACTTGGTTTGGGAAAGTTGTATAGTGATCCCAGATGAGATGACAAATCATCTATCCTTATATGTTCATCTTCCATGTATCTCCGTGGCCCAATATCAGCAAAACTACCTGAACGGAGGCAAGGTATAAACTTCAGAACCGCAGATTCAAGAGCAGCATCTAAGATCCTGTCTGTAGACTTAACATCCTACACAAGGATAATTAAATACAAATCAGCAAAACAATGTTGAAGGACTAGATGAGTACTATTTTGCAAAACATTGCTCATCCCATAGAGATTAAAAAATCTAATAAAAAATTACCAACTTCATGGAGAATTTGATCAGTAACAGATGTTAGCGGGTAACAATGTTACCCTTTTAGGTACCAACTACAACAAAATCCATCCCAGACACATCTATCTCAACCAATAAATTCAATTTCAAATGAACAGATAGAGATTCCCTTACTGATGTTACCACACAATTGGGATCATCATAGATAAGCCGTCAAACTAAACACGTGTAACAAAATTTACCAAGTAAAACAAGGAAGTAAATACCTAAAAGAAATCAACAGCTATCTTCACCTAAGCTCAACAAACACGCTAAACCCTGATCCAAAAAAAGCTTTAAGAAAATTTCCTTTCTTGAAGGGAACTTGATCCGAGAAAGAGAAATTAAAGAATTCACGCGACTGAGCAAGCGAACATAAAGAATTAGAGAACCCCATCACGCTCTATGACCATCTAAGTCATCCGACAACAGAAACACATAAAACCACAGGAAAAAAATGAAAAAGGGGGGGGGGGGTCTTTGGAAACTGACTTCTTGTGAAGTGAGTAACTCGGCGGAGACCGACTCAGTCGCACGAACTCGGTCAAAACTCGGAGGCGAAATAGCATCTACATCTCCGATCTCGTGAACATCGCTTCCCTTGGTTGGAAAATGCTTCAAATCCAGCACACCCACGTTCTGCTGACACACAACCTCTGCTTCAGCCACCATGTTCTATGCTTTCTCTTTTTCCTCCTCTATCCTTCTCTAGGGAAAACTGATCCAAATCCAACGTTGTAAAGAGCTAAAAACTGTTCTGCTATGTTCCGAAAAGATTTGATTGATGTTAAAACTGTTTCGATTTTCTTCTCTTCTGTTGGCAATTCTGGGGAATTTTCTCGCTGTTTCTGTTGGGATTGGTGATCGAAAAACTTGTGCCACGGAGGGGTTGAAACGCCATATAAGAGGCTTCCGTGGGGAACCGGCGGCTGCCGGTAAACTTGTTGCAATTACGGACACGTGGAGTTTCTGGGACCACGAGAGCGTTTGCCTCGCACGCGTTGAGGCTTGGCTTACCCGACACGTGACGGTGTTTGCGGGTTGACGTGTGACCCTTGAAGTGTTGGGGAGTTGCGGAAACAAAATGACAGAGAGGCCCTTAGAGGTGTAAGCTGTCAAGTTTGACTTGAGGATTAGTTACAGTTAGGAGAGGTGTAAGATGGGAAATTCTCGTAGCGCCGACCGAGTAATGTAACTGTCTTCTTGTGTACATAGGTGCTGACGCGTTCCTCAGCCCCCACCAACATTGGTGATGTGTGACATCATGCCTTCGCCCACGCTCTTTTCTATCTCCCTCTTCTCACCACGCCTCATATAACAATAAATTTACTTCTTTTTTCTTTTTCTTTTTCTTTTTCTTTTTTAAATCCAACAAATAATAATTAAAAGGTAAAATATTTTTTTGTTACGGATATGTGTGTAGTGTTGGATGAGGAAAGTAAAAATATACTTTTTATGGTAATACCATTAACTACTATATTTTTTGTTTGGTTACAATTTTAGTACTATATTGTTGAAACGTCAATGAAGGTGCATTATAATTATTAAGTTTACCGATGGATCATTATCGATTTGCAATGAATAAAATGCGTATACTTAAGTTAAACAAGCCAACTATTGCTATTAATGATGTGAACAATTTACACTAACATTTTTATAATTTTGATTTTTAAAACGTAAATAGAGATATTTTATTCATAAAATTTTAATAATGTAAAAACAAAATCTCCCCTCCATGTGTTTTTTTTTTCCTTAAGGTTTTCTAGTATCGGAGGAAAGGGAAATTAGATGAAAAAATATTTTACTTTCTTGCAAACAACATTTAAAAAAAAAATCTTTATCTTTCTCTCTAATTTCTTCTTATATATTAAACTGGGTTTATCAAAACAAAAACTCTTAAATGAATGTGTTAGTAGGAAATCGAGAAAAACGATCGAAAAATGAAGGAAAGAAAAATCGAGAAACATGTAATTGATCGATAAAGCAAAGTGGATGAGAGATCATTCGATGTCCAATTAGAAGGACGTGGCACACAAAATCGAAAGTTAGAGTCGGAATCAAAGGAATAATAGTTAAAAAGTTTATTGTGGAATAAACCAAGAAATTAGAAGTATATGATGCTAAGGTTAAGAGGAATAAAAAATAATTCAAAGTTCTCGATAAATTCGAAATCGAGGGGAAGGCTAACCTACATGGATATCAAAACCCTGGCCAAATTGTGAAGGGAAGAACAGTCAAGCGCATATACGGGAAACAGTTTCTAAATCATGGTAGAAGTTGAAGATCGTGAGAACGTGGGTACAGTATTGAAACCATAGAAGATAAACTGCAATACGCACGTAGAACGTGGTAGCAGTTTTGTTAACTGCTCCTGGAAGGTTTGAATGATGCCCTATAAATAGAGCAAAAGAGGAAGGAATGAGGGGCAAAAAATTGGCAGAGAACAGAATTAGTAGTGAGAAGTCTACCGGAACATGACGAACACCATGAAACTTCTGGCAATCTGGATTTCCATGCTCATCGAGTACCTTTACCACTTCCTTTACTTTCCTTGGTAATTTATTTTGATGCACCTTATATTCAGCAATTTTATGTTTTTTGTTCTTTCAATTCCTTGTCATTTCAATTCAATGAAAGTTAAGTTTCCGCGTTTAAGTTTCCTTGTCCTTTAACATTGATGCAATTTCGATTTCTGGTATATTTTCTGCAATCTTGATTCCTTGCCATTTACATTTTCGTTCTTTTGATTCCTTGTCATTTACATTTAACGTACTTTTAAGGTTTCTGCATTTTACGGGTTTCAACAATTTAGTATCCTGTATTGTTTTTCGATTCGACGTTTTATTGCTTTCTGCATCTTAAATACAAAACACAAAAAAAAATAGCATTTTCGATACTTGGTAAGGTTCGATCCTCATACGCATTTCGATTGAAAATTAATTTGTTAGCCTAAGTAAAAAGAACTTACGTGGTAGAATTTTGGTTAGTATCAAAATAGCTCGGGGGTCGAAATCAATCGAAATTCCACCAGAAACAAATTGGCGCGCCAGGTAGGGGAAGCCTTGTGTTGAAAATACACAAAATTGGTTAGTTCGAAAGTGTATGAGATTAAGGAGTGGGAGAGTTATAAGTATGAGTCAAAATTCATCAAATAACCAGAGTAACAGTGAGGGTCTGAATGGTGTACATTCACCAAATACTGGGGGGCAAAGTCATAATGGGAATATGCCTGTAACATCGACAACTACGAGTATGTCGATACCTGTGGGTAACGAACTAAATTCAGGTACCTTAACAAACACCCAAGTAGGTTCTAATGCGGTGGTACCGAATAATATGCAAACTATAGGAAACCCCACAACAACATATGTAGGGCCATATATGAGTGTAAGACCGCCTGGGTTTTCGCTTAATAATACGAGCGGGGCTGGAACTTCTTCAACACAGCGGAATTCGAGATATAACTTAGGAATGCCTCAAACGCTGGGCATGCCCCAGAATTTTGGAGTCCCTCCGAATTTAGGGACATCTCAAAACTTAGTAATCCCCCAGAATTCAGGAAGTGGACAGAATTTAGGCACACAACAAACACTTCCAAATCTAGATCATAGAGGAAATTTGGAACATGGAAGACATATATTCGATAGAGATTATCATCGATCCAATTTTGAGACTATCGAAAACACTGGTACTGGGATATCCAGTAACTCATTAGGGATACTTAGACAACAAATGGATGAGAGCAATTTTGAGATGGTAAATATGTTGTCACAACAGTTGATTACAGTCCTAAACCCATTAGTTCAAAACACTACTGCTAGTTTTGAGATATTAGCGGACCAAATGTCACGAATCGGGGATGCATTGGCTGTACCTCGACAAACAAGGGTAGAAAATCATGCTAACCAGAATGCTAATATCAATCCCCGTATCTATTGAGGAGAAATAGAAACAATGATCAACACCAACATGTGAGGAATGATATTTATGGGAATTTGAATGAGGGATTTCAAAATATGCACAATCAAAATAACATGTTAGGACAGAGAGTGAATTTACAAGGGATGGAATTTAGACCACCCAATCAAACATACTTTGTGTCACCTTTTCCAAATGCGATTCTCGAGACAGAATTACCTCGAGGATACAAAGTGCCTAAATTCACCAAATTCGCTGGAGAGGTTGGTGAATCAACTATCGAGCATGTAGCTCGATATCAGATCGAATGTGGGGACCTAGCGATAAGTGAGGAATTAAAGATGAAATATTTCCCTAGTTCTTTGACTAAGAATGCGTTTACTTGGTTTACCTCATTGCCACCTAATTCGATTTATAATTGGCTGCAACTGGAGAGAAATTTTCATGAGCAATTCTTTAGAGGGGAAACTCAAGTAAGTCTTGTTGATTTGATGAATATAAAAAGATACAATCATGAAAGCATAGATGATTATTTGAATCGATTTAGACAAATGAAGTCGAGATGTTTCACTCAAATTCCCGAATATGAGTTAGTCAGAATGACATCTGCAGGCTTAGAATTCTCGATTAGGAAAAAACTAGTCAATTTGCCATTGAATGACATGGCTTAATTAGCCGATAAAGTAAGAAGAGTGGAACAAATTGAATACGAAAAACAAAGGTATAAGAAATATGAGAAACCCTTCAAAAGAGAAAGAGTAGCATATATAAATGATTTGTATGAGACAGATACCATGACAGAAAATGATATTGAAGGAACTGTCGATGAGAAAGTAAACATAGCAGAACTCAAAGTAGGGGCTCCATATATCTGTAAACTGCTACAAAAGAATGAAGTGAAAGATAAGATGGCAAATCGAACATATACTTTCGATGTGACAAAAGCTGATAAAATCTTCGATATTTTATTAAAAGACAAACAAATTAAGTTGAGTGAAGATCATAAACTGCCTTCGGCAGAACAAAGGAATGGTCGAAAATATTGTAAATTTCATAATGTTTTTGGACATTGGACTAACAATTGTATACATTTCAGGAATACGATCCAAGATGCGATTGACCAAGGAAGACTGAAATTTGAAGAGATGTCAATGAAAGTGGACACGAGTCCATTCGAAGTACAAGTGGGGTATATTGAATCCCAAACGGGCATGACTGAGGATGTCCGAGGGACAAATTCTGCTTTTATAGGCATGGTCGATGTTACTGAAGACATTGATCCTAAACATGTCAGAATGGATGTATCTGAAGAAGATATGGAATTCGATCTGAGTGAATTCGAAAAGGAATTCGAGAGGGAAATTTACCCTCGGTCAAGAGATTCTCTCCTCGAGTTTTTGAACAGAAAGAAAGGAAAAGATGAAGATGTGTCGTTATGTCCGCGATGCAGTGCAGTCTTCGACAATTCAGCCGCTAAGGCTTTCAGAGTAGAACAGATAAAGAAAATCGAGAGTCAGAACGAAAGGAAGAATGACAAAGTGGATCAAGCAAGCCAACCGACGATCGGAGAAAGCCAACAGAAATCCGATGGTTCTGGTGTCAGTGGGAATCAAAGACAGTGGGTAAAAAGAGCGATGTACCCTTCTCGAAGAGGAGGAAGTAGACTTCAGAGTAATGATGTCTTCGAGAGGCTTTCATATGAAGAGGGATCGAATGCTGGATTCCCGACATTCCAAAGGCGATTTCGTGGAAGGCCCTGGAGAAGAGGAGGAAGGATCCCTTATTGGAATAATTACAGAAACTTTGAAGGGAATAATGTACCAATGGGGGGCCAATATGCAAGAGATTATTTCAACGATAAGAATGAGGGTAACTGGGATGAGCATCAAATCGGAGTGATATCGATACTACTGGCGGAATATGTTAGTGAATATCAAGAGTACCAAGAACAGAGTGATGCCGATCAAGAAGATGACTTCTATTCAGAAAACATAAGGCCAAAGGTAACATGGGTTACACAAACATCATGTGAAGTACCTCATAGAGATGCTGCTTTTATTGATCCTCCATCCGAGGAAATGAGGTTCCACCTGAAGCCCCTATTACTGAATATCGAGATTCAAGGACAAATGGTGAATAGAGTCCTTGTCGATGGTGGTGCGGCAGTAAACATATTGCCAATCACTATGTTAAAAAGGTTTGGCATTGAACTGAAAGATTTAGTCAGACACAATATCATGATTTCCGATTTCAGTGGAAAAACATCGAGCTCAGAAGGCATGATTGCCTTAGACGTAAAAGTGGGAACTTATTCGAGGCCTACTGTGTT